CCCCAGCGTCCCGCTGGCTGCGTGTGGGGGGCGTGGGGGAGAGGGGACAAGGGATGCCCTGTCCGAGACTCCTGGGAGAGCGGCCGGGCGGGCGCTCTGGGGACGGGGATGGGCCGGATCGGGGTGGGAGGAACCTGGGAGGGGCCAACCCGGCGGCCCTCGCCCCCACTCCTCCCCACGGCCCCCCAGGGTAGCTGCGGGATCTCAGAGGAAGTGTTTGGACCGCAGTCAGTACCTACTCCGCCTGTTTGCGTAGGGAGTCTGGGTGCTGGGAAGCGGAACCCACACCGGCAGAGACTGTCTCCCTCTGTCGAGAGGCAGGCACGAGTGCGGAGGAGGAAAACTTTGTCCTTGGCATGTGATACATTCCACATCCAGCGTGGCGCTGAGGCCACCAAGGGGCAGCGGCACAGGGAAGCTTCTGGTGAGAAGGGACAGTATTCGCGTCTAGCGGTCGCGCTATCACATCTGTCGCTGTCTACCGGAAGGTAGACGTAGACAGCCTGGCCGTCTGCCCTCACCACAATGGAGAAATTGCCGCGCTCCTTGCTTTCAGCTCCTGGGGGGAAGGCAGATACAATTCCTACCCTATGGGCTCCAGGGACGCCCGCACAGAGAGGGTGAGCTGGAGGCCCCCCGCGGTTCCCTGTGCCTGGGACTGCTGCTTTTTCATTTCCAAGTTTGGCAAATTTCGCTTGAACTGGACTAGAGCTACTGGACTATAGCAGGAGAGTGGGCTGGGAGGAGGAACAGAGCCAATCAGAGGTGGACCCACGCTCCCAAGAGAAATCAGCCTGCTCTTTCCTCCTCCCCTTCCTTGTTTCTTCCTCCCTTCTCAGGCTCCTCCCCTGCTTTTCCCTGTTTCTTTCCGGTAGCCGTGGGCTCTGCCCAGCTGCTCCGCTCCCCAGGAGCCCCGGGGGAGTCTCCATGGCTTCTCCCACCTCCACCAATCCAGCGCACGCCCACTTTGAGAGCTTCCTGCAGGCCCAGCTGTGCCAGGATGTGCTGAGCAGTTTTCAGGAGCTGTGTGGCGCCTTGGGGGTGGAGCCCGGTGGTGGGCTGTCCCAGTACCACAAGATCAAGGCCCAGCTCAACTACTGGAGCGCCAAGTCGCTGTGGGCCAAGTTGGACAAGCGAGCCAGCCAGCCTGTGTACCAGCAGGGGCAGGCCTGCACCAGCACCAAGGTGGATGTGTGGCGTCTGGGAGGCGGAGGGGGACAGCAGGAGGGGATAAGATGAGGCAGACAGGATGCCATGCCTGCCCTGTTCTGTGTGTTTGCAGTGCCTGGTAGTGGGTGCTGGACCATGTGGGCTGCGGGCTGCTTTGGAGCTGGCACTGCTGGGGGCTCAAGTGGTGCTGGTAGAAAAGCGCACCAAGTTCTCTCGCCACAACGTGCTCCACCTCTGGCCCTTCACCATCCATGACCTTCGGGCACTCGGCGCCAAGAAGTTCTATGGGCGCTTCTGCACTGGCACCCTGGACCACATCAGTGAGCACTGAGTTGTGGTGGTCTGGGGGGGGGTGCACTGGGGCAGGCCACTGGGTCACCGCAGACACAGAGTGAACAAGGTTCATTTTGCCAGGTGACCCTGAATACCCGGGTCCATCATCTGCAGAATGGGCAGTTGGCAGAGTGGCCTCTGAGACCTTCTTCCCCTCCGCGGCTGGGCAGCCCTGGATGACCCCTCTTCCATTCCTAATGTCCTCTCCCTTTCAGGCATCCGGCAACTTCAGCTGCTTCTACTGAAGGTGGCATTGCTACTGGGGGTGGAAATTCACTGGGGTGTCACTTTCACTGGTCTTCAGCCTCCTCCTGGAAAAGGTAAGTGTTCTGTGAGCCACACCACCAAGGAGACCTTGGCCAGTGGATGAAAAAGGGCAGGGCAGGAGCCAGCTAAGTCTCCCTCTCTGGCCCTCAGCTATCTTGGTGCAAAATGGCAACAGTATTTCTTTCCTCACTGGTCTTACTTGGCTGCTGTGAAGATATGGTCTGATGGATAGAATGTAAACCATAGAGTTCTTAACACATTTATTTTAAATAATTTCACCTGCTTGACCTGGTGAGGTCAAGGTCCCCCTGAGTTCTACACCTTTGTGCCTCTCACACCCTCTACCGCAGGCAGTGGCTGGCGTGCCCAGCTCCAGCCCAGTCCCCCAGACCAACTGGCCAACTATGAATTTGATGTCCTTATCTCCGCTGCAGGGGGTAAATTCGTTCCTGAAGGTGAGTGACTCCTTCCCTCAAAAATGCCAGGGGCCTTTCTAGGAAGTGCTACTCCTGGTCTTCCTGCCATACCACATGTCCCCACCACTAGGCTTCACGGTTCGAGAAATGCGGGGCAAACTGGCCATTGGCATCACAGCCAACTTTGTGAACCAGCGTACAGTAGAGGAGACACAGGTGCCTGAAATCAGCGGTGTGGCCCGGATCTACAACCAGAAATTCTTCCAGAGTCTTCTGAAAGCCACAGGTTAGGCCCGCTCCCCTAGCTTAACAGTGAACTGGTTCCCACCTCTCCCTCCCATCCTTCATGCAAGGAATCCCACACTTGTCCATCTCTGTGGTCTGGGAAGCAAAGGGGAAAGAACCATCCTCCCAAGGGACCAAGCAACCACAGCCCTGCTTGGCCATCCAGCTTGAAATCTCACAAAATACCTGAGAGTTTTACTCTGTACTCCTTTATGTTTTAATATGAAAGTGATGTCAAATGAAAACAAAAGTGGCACTTCAAAAGGGCCCTATGCTTACTTTGGCTCCCTACTGCGATGTGACCATGTGGTACAAGTCTCCCAGCTGCCACCCTGAGTTTCCCTGTTTGTTCCAAGCCATCAGGCCTCCTGGGCCTGGGACAGATGGTCCTTGTGTCACCAGGACTCCTGGGGCTCTGTGCATGGCTTAGCACTGCAGCCTAGGCTGAGATCACAGCTCAGAGAGGTCAGCCATGGCGGGAGAGTTTGTAGAGGTAATGCAGAAGCAGAAGAGGCTCATCTGTCCCCTGCTCTGTCTCCCCAGGGATTGATCTGGAGAACATTGTGTACTACAAGGATGACACCCACTACTTTGTGATGACAGCTAAGAAACAGTGCCTGTTGCGGCTAGGAGTGCTTCGCCAGGTGGGGCCTGGGCCCAGGCAGGGAGAGCTGAGCCTGGACAGACTCCCCCTGGGTGTGGAGGGACCCCATCCTGTCCTACCTCTGCCCTGCCATTGACTCTTATCACTACCAGCCCTGCTGCCCTGGGATCAGCATGGCAATGTGAATCCTATTCTTATACCAGCCACAGTACTACAGAGCTCCACAGGGCAGAAATTTTTGTCTCTGCTTCTTGCTGCTAATTCCCAGGGCCTAGAAAGGTACCTGCTATGTAGTAGGCACCCAATACATATCTGCTGAGTGAATGAACTCGCAGGGTGCCCAGCATGTGCCAAGTGTTGTGAGAACTTATGAGTACCTGATCAGTCAGGCATGTTGTCTCTAGATGATATATAAGCCGAGGCTCTGACAAATTCAGGTCAAGCGTGTGACAGTAATGATACTGAGGTTGGTGGGCAGAGTGGAGCCTAGGACTCCCAGCAGCAGTGAGGCAGGCTGAAATCTAGTCTTACTTCAGCTGTTGATCACTGTGAGATCTGGGCAGCCTCTTCCCTCCCCTCACCTTCAGGAGATGCACCTTCTACAGCCAAGGTTCTGATCTGTCGGCCCCTAGGATTGGCTGGAGACTGATCGGCTGCTGGGCAGTGCCAATGTGGTGTCTGAGGCTCTTCAGCGCTTTGCTCGGGCAGCTGCTGACTTCGCCACCAACGGCAAGCTGGGGAAGCTAGAGTTTGCTCAGGATGCTCACGGGCGGCCTGACGTTTCTGCCTTTGACTTCACGACCATGATGCGGGCAGAGTGTTCCGCTCGTGTGCAAGAGAAGCATGGAGCTCGCCTGCTGCTTGGACTGGTGGGAGACTGCCTGGTGGAGGTGAGGGCTTCTCGAGGCCCTGAGGTCTGGTTGGGATAGGAAATCAATCACCTATTGATGGGAGGTGAGTGTAAAAAGATCTGCTTGTTGAAGGAGGAGCTAAAGGCTGCTTGGTGGAGGTGAAAGCTGCCCAGTATGGGTTCATCCCCCACCACCACCCCTGCTGCCCCTGACGACCTGAGGAAGCTCCCACTGGATTCTCAGTGATCTGTTTCCTGTTCCTCTGACCCTGCAGCCCTTCTGGCCCCTGGGCACTGGAGTGGCCCGGGGCTTCTTGGCAGCCTTTGATGCAGCCTGGATGGTGAAGCGGTGGGCAGAAGGCACTGAGCCCCTGGAGGTGTTGGCTGAGCGGTAAGGCCTGAGCTGGGAGAGTAGTACAGATGGGGCGGGATATGGGAAAAGGAGCCAAGGGTGCTGTGGGAACAGAAAGGGGAACAGGCAAAAGGAAGTACAGACAAGGGCTGGCAGTCCTTGAGGGCCAGGAGCTAATGGGTGCTGCTCCATTCACACCCACACCCCCCGCAGTGAGAGCCTGTACCAGCTTCTGTCACAGACATCCCCGGAAAACATGCACCGCAACGTGGCCCAGTATGGGCTGGACCCAGCTAGCCGCTACCCCAACCTGAACCTCCGGGCTGTGACCCCCAACCAGGTGAGATCCCCCCACATACCCGTCCTCGGCTTCCTAAGCGAGTCCCCCTCCTCTAGGCCAGCCCTTTCCTGCCCAGTCACAGCACCCTGGGTGGGGGTCAGTCTTACCCAAGGCAGATCCCTCCCCATGGGCACAGGGTGCCAGTCAGCTGCCTGGAGACCTGAGAGGGGCTGGGCTGTCTTAGGTGCGAGACCTGTATGACGTGGTTGCCAAGCAGCCTGTGCCAAAGAAGAGTGACAAGCCTGACACGGGGGATCTGACCAGCGGTGAGCAGGCCTTCCTCCTGGGGATGTGCAGAGTATTTACCAACCTGAATGCTGCAGCCTCGAGGCACTCAGCCTGCAGGAGCACTCACTGTTTGGTGGTGCAGTGGAAGGGCGGCGACCCCCAAGCAGCGCCAACCTTAGGAGGATTTCAGTGTTTTATCAACCACCACACCAGCAGCAGGGCCTTGCAGTAGCTGTTCTGCCAACTTCTTCCAGCCTTACAAACCCAAAACTGCCTTTATTTGCGCCTTCAAGCCTGTTTCTCCTCTCAGTTCACAGCCTTCTGCCTTCTGTGTGGCCAACAGTGATTTCATTCTTCCACGTCATTCGTTCCCTCACTTTATGCCAAAAGGGATTTTTTGCGAGGCAGGTGGCTGAGGGTTTTTTTGTTTTGTTTTATTTTTTGCTTTTTGGTACCAGGGATCAAGCTCGGGACCATGCTCTTGCAAAAAGAAATTTTTTAAAGTAAGAATGGAGATGAAGGAGGTGCTTCTGGCTTTGAGCATTAGGCTGATGCCCGGGACAGGTGGGTGGGTCCCCGATGCCAGCTCGCATATCCAGCTGCACTCCAGGGGTGGGGCAGAGGGGACCTTGGGCACAGCACAGCTTTGTTTCCCAGGGTCAGCAGGCACCCAAGAGGAGCTGCTATGCTGGTGCCAGGAAAAGACGGCTGGCTACCCAGGAGTCCACGTCACCGACTTGTCTTCCTCCTGGGCTGATGGGCTCGCTTTGTGTGCCCTGGTACACTGGCTGCGGCCCAGCCTGCTGTGAGTCAGGGAGCAGCACAGGGTCCCTCGCAGACTGTACCTCTCTTGTGTGCCCCTGCCTTCCTGGTAGAATCAGCACACCCAGTCCTAGCCCCTCCCCGCCACCTACCTCTCTTGTCCTCGGAGAGGGCATCCTCTCCTGACTCTGCCTGCCCCAAGTCTTGACAGAATTGAAGGCATTCAGAGAGGCAAGAACTGTGAGTAGGTCAGGGGTCCCAAGGCTAGAAGTGCTTGTCATGGGGAGGAAGCAGAGAGAACAAATAAACCACGTCCTGGCCTTCTTTCTGGGTCCCCCAGCTCCTGCCTGCTGCCCCTCTCCCTGCCTCTTCCTGCTAATGAACCCATTGGCTTCTCTCCCTCCCACCACACAGGGAACCCTCAGAGCTGCAGGGCTTGAGGGCTCTGGAAGTGACTGCCTGGGCACTGAAGATAGCTGAGCATGAGCTGGGCATCACACCGGTGGTGTCTGCACAAGCAGTGGTGGCCGGCAGCGACCCCCTGGGCCTCATCGCCTACCTCAGTTCCTTCCACAGTGCCTTCAAGGACACCTCTGGCAGCCCAGGTGAGCTGGAGGGCAGGTGGGTGGGTCCGGGTGCTGGAGGCGAGAGGGGAGAACGGCCCTCCTACCCTGACACCCAGACGTGGCCTGCAGGTGTGGTCAGCAAGGCTTCTCCTGGGACTTCCAGTGCGGTATTATTCCTTGGCAAACTCCAGAGGACGCTGCATCGCAGCCGGGACAAGGTTTGGTCTGGGCAAGGTTGGGGACAGGGGAGGGAGGTGCCCAGTGAGGTCCCTGGAGCTATGGCGAACATTCAGAATGGGAGACAGGGAGGCTGAGGCTCCGGGCCTTGTGCTTACATCTGTAGGACTTGTTGCAGGAAAGCAGGGAGGATGCTGGTGGCAAGAAGCCTCGCTTGCAGGTAAGTGTAAGTGGGGACAGATTCCCCTTCCCTGTTCTGTTCCCCATCTTGCTCTCCACCCCAGATCTTACACCCATCCTCACTCCCTTCTCTCCCAGCCCTTTCTGTAGATTTGCAGTATCCTTTCCTCAGGTGACCCTGCCCGCTGTGCACTTACCTTCTTAGGTGGAGGCTGACACCCCAAGTACCGAGGAGCAACCTGCACCGGAGCCCAGTGTACCCCTGAAACCCCCGTCCCAGCAGCAGGAGGTGAGTGCTGCTTGTAGCAGAGACCTAGGGAGGGCAAGGATGAAGGGCTTTGGGGAAGACCTGCAAGTGGCCTTGGCGCTGATTGATCCTGTGCTCTAGGAGTCTGCGCAGGCCAGTGCCAGGGACCTGTGTGCCCTTTGTGGGGAGCACCTCTACATCCTGGAACGCTTCTGTGTAGATGGCCATTTCTTCCACCGGAACTGCTTCCGCTGCCGTGCCTGTGAGGCTACGCTGTGGCCAGGTGGCTATGGGCAGCACCCAGGAGATGGTGAGCAGGTGTCGGAGGTCTGGGCCCGGCTCCACCTGGGGGCAAGGAGCTTGAGGGTGGAAAGAGCGGGGTTCTGGGCATGAGGTGGAAACAGGCTTAAGCTGGCACTTTCTTCCTGAATCTTGGGTCTTCTATCCCCTCCAAAACCCCAGTTCTAAAGACCAGGGCTGCCACAAATGTTCCTGCAAGTCCATTGTCCTGTGCCCCCACCCCCACCCCACCTTCCCTGTGAAAGTGTCTGGCATTAGGTTGCCATTACGGATGCCTTCACCCCCTCCACCCTCCCCAGGATATTTCTACTGCCTTCAGCACCTGCCCAGGACAGGCCACAAAGAAGATATCATGGATGGAAGCCCCAAGAGCCCGGTAAGGACTGTGAAAGCGTGGGTGTACAGAGGCATGGCAGGAGGTAAAGGGTCTCTCTGGTGTAGCACTTTGCTGGGGCTAAAGGAAAGCTGTATTTCTCCGGACTAGTGAGCCGCCTGAAGGCTGAGATGCTTGTCTGGCTTTACTTAATGCTGTAACCCAGGATCCAGAACAACTGCCTGGGACGACATCCACCTGATAGTGTTAAGTGAATGAATGGCACAGCCCAGAATGGCCTCAGTCCCCACCTTGGGCAGGTCCCTAACCAGACCACGTGGTGGCTTTTCCAGGAACTCCCCGTGCTGGATGAGAATAGTGTTCCACCAGGCCCCTCGACTCCCACAGCCCTGCAGGAGGCCAGTCCTGTCCCATGCCCCAGCCAGCCTGCCCGTCGGCTGATCCGTCTCTCCAGCCTGGAACGCCAGCGCCTGTCTTCCCTCAACATTAATCCCAGCCCAGAAGTGGAGCCTCCACCCAAGCCACCCCGTAGCTGCTCGGCCTTGGCACGCCAGGCCCTGGAGGGCAGCTTTGTGGGCTGGGGTGTACCAGTCCAGCGTCCACTTGGTAACTACTGTTCCCACGGATATGCTGACCCAGGACAGGGCGGGGGTCCTGAGACTCCTTAAGGGAGATCAGGGGGATACCAGGTTGTGTCTCCCTCTTTTCTGCTCAGTTCTTGAGGCCATGGAGGAGGAAAAGAGTCCCTCCTCTAGTGAAGAGGAAGAAGAGGAAGAGGAAGATGAGCCTTTGGAGTCAGACTTGGAGCAGGTGACTGGCAGGAATCTGGCCACCTACATGGCCGTGGCCAGCATCTATCCCTCGGGTACTGCCCGCCCCCACTGCAGGAGAAACTTCAGCCCACACCTTCCTCTGCGGAAGTTCTCACCCAGTCTGACTTTTATGCCTTTGAGCCTCCATCTCGCCTACCAGTCCACTTCCAGCCTAGATTCTTTTCTGCCCCTCCAGACAGGGCTTCCCCCCACGCATTGCCAGGCCCTATCCCTGACTGCTCCAACGCTCCCACAGGCCCTGCTGACCTTGGCTAAGAACACAGGCACCATGAACAAATACCCAACATGGCGCCGGACTCTGCTGCGCCACGCTAAAGAGGAGGAGATGAAGAGGTTCTGCAAGGCCCAGGTAAGGCTCTGGGGTTGTCAGGTGTTCTGACAGGGTCACACTTCTGGGCCAGGGACCAGAGCTCCTCTAGGACTCTGTCTCAAAGGAGCAAAGACTCTAGGGCCTCCTGTCTTGTACCCCTCAGGCCATCCAGCGGCGACTAAATGAGATTGAGGTTGCTCTGAGGGAGCTGGAGGCTGAGGGCGTGAAGCTGGAACTGGCCTTGAGGAGCCAGAGCAGTGAGTAAAGACAGGAGGGGGACAAGCCAGCCCCCGGCCCCCAGCCCTCATCGTCGGACACCATTCAGCCCTCAGCAATCCCCTGACCCACCAAGCTCTGGCCCACAGCAGGGCCCACGGCCATGCTGCATAGCTCTGACATGCATACCCCCAATACCCTCCTTTCCCCAAGTCTGTTCCCCAGTACACCTCAGTGACCTCTCCCCTAACTTCTCTTCCTTCCGGTCAGGTTCACCAGAACAGCAAAAGCAGCTCTGGTTAGAGCAGCTGCTGCAGCTGGTCCAGAAGAAAAATAGCCTGGTGGCTGAGGAGGCCGAGCTCATGATCACGTAAGGCAGGGGGACGGCGCCAGTGGCACATGAGATAGGCCCCAGCACCCTTCACAGCTGTGCCTCTTCAATCCCTGACCTTCACAGGGTACAGGAACTAGACCTAGAGGAGAAGCAGTGGCAGCTGGACCATGAGCTGCGGGGCTACATGAACCGGGAAGGTAAGTGGGATGCCTGTGACCTTGGATACTGACCAAGCAACAGTCTTCTGGTCCATGTAGCTTGGGCAGTTGGAACTCCACGGCTCCCATTCTTTAAGTTCAGTCAGAGGTGCAAAGTTAGGCATCAGCATGGTGGCTGCTGCTAACTGGTGTAGACGTCTTCTAATATTGCAGGCTAGGAAACAAAGCCTGCTTATGGAAATCACAGAGGCTGGGATTAGATTGTGTCTCTCCTGCCTCCGTTCTCTAAGCTTTGCCTTCCCCCTTTAGAAACCCTGAAGACAGCTGCGGATCGGCAGGCTGAGGACCAGGTCCTGAGGAGGTTGGTGGATGTAGTGAACCAGCGGGATGCCCTCATCCGCTTCCAGGAGGAGCGCAGGCTCAGTGAGCTAGCCTCAGGAACAGGGTCCCTGGGCTAGAGGAGGCTGGGCTGCCTGCCTTCTTCCCTACAAGATGGGCTCGTGCCAGGACAGTGCCACCCCCACTCATTTGGGCTGTGTGCAAAGGGGGCTTAACTGTTTCCAATAAAAATGTTTGTGCCACAAACAGGATTTAGGCTGCATGGAGGTGAGAGGTGGGAGCCCAAAGGTGACCAATGCAACAGCCACACCAAACCTTGGCGCTACAAGGAAGAAGGAAGACCACTGAAGTATCAAGCTTTATTATTCCTCAGCTCTGTCCTTGTCCAGCTGGCCCAGGAATGGGGCTAGCTGAGGCTCTGGGTACAGTCCTGGGCCTCCTTTGCCTTTCCCAGCACATGCTGGAGCTCAGCCTGAACCCTACCTAAGCTTTTGGCTTCCTGCATGTGGAAGAGGGAGACTGCACCTGCCCCTAGCACCAGTCCTACACTGGGGCTCCAGAGCAGTATGGCCACTTCCCTGGCCCCTTCCCCTGTTGCCAGCACACACAGTAACACCAGGAAAAGCAGCCCCAGACCAGTCACATAGCTGGCGAAGGCAGTCCACCAGCGAGCTCGAGCTATGCCCAGCCCCAGCTCCATCCAGGCCTCCCTTAGCACTCTGATCAGTGATGATGTCTCTGCTGGTCCTAGACGAGAGAGGGCAGTGGGCAAGAGGTCAGTGTGGAGGGGTTACCTTGAGGTGAGGAAGAGTTAAGGAAGAGGGCAGGGTGACTAACCGTGGGGAGGGCTGGGGTCCTGTTCAGGGGGGCCATGCCTCACACACAAAGTTGCCATGAGGGCCTCATGATCAGAGAGTGGGGTGTCATTGTGGGGGTGATGGCCAGTAGTGGTCTTGAGAGTCTTACAGGAGATGTAGAACCCAGAAACCGCCTAGGAAAAGTAAGTACTAGACAGCTTACATTGGAGGGGATCTGCCCACAGGAGCCCCTCCCAGCATTCCATTCTCAGTCATCAGTGGCCTGAGACAAGACTGCTGAACAAGGGATCAGGACAGGCTGGTGACAGAGACAGACAGGGGGTGAAGCCAGGCTGAGGGAAGGATCCTGACCTTGTAAAGCACATAATCAATTCGAATGCCAAAGGGAAATGGGCCCAGGTCCTGCTGGCTGACGTAGCAGTTCTGCTTTATCATGGTGTAGCCTTCTTCAGGGCCCTAGAGGAACAGCCAGCTGGGAGTAGGACTTGGGGGCAAGAGAGGGATGAGAAGCTGGGGACATAGGCAGGAAATAGGCAGGTTCTCACGTTGAAGTCTTGGGTCTTGAGGTAGGCGTCATGTAGGCCTGTGTACTCCTTCAGCAGGCAGCAGCCCAGGTCTCCTGGGTGCATGTTGAGGTCCCCACACAACAGAACCACATCTGCCTTCTTGGATGTGTGGCTGAGGGAGCCAGGTTGGTGAGAAAGGAAAGCTTCCCTTGCCACCTCTACTGTATAAGTGGAGCCCTGGCCACCCCTTGGGCCCTGGGTCCCATCCCACTTCCCCTGTCAAGCCCAGGCTCACACACTGGATGAACTGGGCCAGTTCCCAAGCTTGGGCTACACGATGTGTTAGGTAGATGTCCTTCTGTCGGTTGTATTCGGCATGCAGCTGAGTGAGATAGATGAGATTACAGCAGATAGGACCAAGGGTCCCAGGGGCTCGCCTAAATCAAGCAGTCACCTAGCATGGTGTCTGAGATGGAATAGGTAGACCTTAGGAAACCCAGATCCCACACCTCACCCTCATGCAGCACAGCTGGGCACTGCTGGCTTCACTCACATGGGTCACGTAGGCATTCAGCACCACTCCACTGAGATGGAGCACCAGCAGCCCCACGGCCTTCCCACAGAACCAGTCACCATGATGGATCTGCGGGGAGGAGGAAGCAGGCACTCAGGGCACAGCCACCTTCCTGCCTACCCTGCGACCCTAGGAGGGCTGCCTCTTCTGCCTGTGTTAACCAGGTGGAAGAGGGGAGGCTTACCATATACGGGTAGCCATTGAGGGTGTAGATGTGCTGGCAGATTTCCTGGATTGGGTGTTTGGAGAAGACACAGAGGCCACTGCCAATGATGCCACTGAAAGCGAAGCCCTGCTTAATAATCAGAACAGCAAGGAGGGAAATTCCCAGCCCTCTGCTCAGCTCTTGTCTCCAGCTGAGAACAGCTACTTTTCTTGGACCAGCCCCAGAACAAAACACCAAAGCCTTTGCAGGGAATGAGGGGCCGCCTGCTAATAGGCTGAGAAGGGCTGACTAGATAGGACGCCCTGGTTCAGCCTCTCCTGCTCCCTCACAAGGGTGCAGGCAGAAGAGGGAGTGTGGGCGGGACCAAGAGCCTCCTGGCTGAGGACAGGTTCGGCAGGCTTCTCACCTCTTGAAGTAGTGTGCAGCTGGGTATATCACAGCCAGCTTCTGCCTTAGGTACTGGAAGTCTTGCTCACTCCACACCTGAGGGAAGGGTGAGGATGTCCACCTGGCCTCTTTCTGAGGGCCCTGCTGCCCTCTTCCCAGCCTGGGATCCCCACTAGGGCTGCACAACCCCACCTCCTCTAAGAGGGCTAGGTCGAAGTTCTCCGTGTTCAGAAAGTCTCCCAGGCGTTCAATGCGGTCGGCCCTGTGCTTGCTTACGTAGGGAATGTCCCTAAGGAAAAGAAGGGCAGGGCCAGGGAAGGTGACTGCTGGCACCATCAGAGCTGGGGCCAGGTGGGAAGGGGCGGTTAGGGCTCGCCTCTCACCCCAAGATCACAGGACAGGAGAGGGTCGTTGTCCGGCAGCAGGAAGGCCGGCCTCCTCCTGGAAGTGCAGGTGCAAGGAAAGAGGCCCTCAGGCCGCACCCGCGGGCTCACTCACCAGCAGTTGAGGTTGAAGACCCTCAGTCGCAGAGAGAAGTTGGGCTTCATGATGCTCCGGGACCGGACCAGCGGCCTCCCCGGCCACTCAGCGGAGGAGGCGCGCACAGGTGGCCGGCGTCGCGTACAGGT